AAAAAAAAAAAAAAAAAAAAAAAAAAAAAAAAAAATAATAACACAGCGCCTGTCAGGCCACTAACACTAACTCAGCCAGAGCAGCAATTGAGCCACGCAGACACCCAACTTTATGTCACTGACGGCATTAGGCTGCTGCCATCTGTAACCCATACTAGCAGCTAAACAGCCAGAGATCATGCAGTCCCTGCTGTATCCGCTGCTTTCTTCTCCTAACAACATAGTCCCAGCCATCAGATCTTATCCCCTAGTTGCTTATCAATGGTGACCTTGTTCTTCAACTCCCACAGCTCCAACAGCTGAACCAGTATCTGCATCACCTGCATCACCTGCATCACCTTGCTGGCAACACCTAAAACTAGATATCATGGAAACAGGTCCATAGGGTCAGAATAGGAGTGTTAATCAGCTACAGTCCCATCCAGATAGCAGCCCAAGTCTCAACATCTTTAATTATGAGAAATAGAGTCTGGTTTTCAACCATCTTTTATTTTAGAAATCCCAAGCCGCCGCCTGGCACCTTTAGAACCCAAGACTCCAAAGCCTCAGCAGTCTTAGCATTAGTATGGATGGCAAGGGTGACTGTTTCCACTAGATATACATTCAACCCCTATGTACTAAATCCAATAAAGATAGAATAAAATCAGCTACAGAGTGATTTACAACTATGAGAAGGCCTCTTTTTTTTATAGTTGCTCTGAGTTACATACCTTACAACACTGTAACCCAGTCAGGCTATGGAGCACCCCTATTTGCATCATGTCCGGAGCCCTAGGATAGGCAGAAGTGCATCAAAGGCTGGGAGGAAAAAGCTTCCACATCAGAACGGGCCTTGAGGTATTTATGCGTCTTACTCATTGGGTTATACAACAGGATGGCCCACCACAGAGTGGCCGCAGCATAGTCAGGGGGCGTACCCAGCTGGCCTTCATAGAACCAAAGTCTCTTATAATCAGTCCATCAGGGGGCCAGTACTAATTTAGAAATGCACCCAGAGAGAGCAAACAAGGCGAGCATGGCAGGCATTTGCATCTTTGACGGGCCAGGAGAAGCCTTGCCACTACAGCTGGGAACGCCAATGAGCCAGACCCCAATACATTTCAAGAGAGAAGGGGACCAAGGGGCACTCACTGCGACCCTCCACATAAAGCATTTTTCGTGCTGCAGTAATGATCTGTGCCGCCCAGAAAACTCGCGCAGAGCGCTCTTCCGGCGCTATTTCTGTCTGTCTTTGTAAATGCTCCATGGATTGGTACTTAGAGTGGGTCTTGCTTAATCGACGGGCTTGCTGAATCGATGGACTGTTACAAGATATTCCTCCTGTAAGCTGCTGGCGGGGTAAAGCTAGTATTTCGATCATCGGTGTTAGTGGTTGTTGTGGACCAGCAGCGAATACTGGATGTCATTCGAAGAGTGGACGAAGAACACCACATACCAGCTTGCAGACTCTCAATCCCGAAACATACAGGATTAACTGAAATGTCAAGAACCGGGGCCTCAGCTTAGCAGACTAATTCTTCGATCCGTGTACAGAGTCACGGAGTAGATGCTCCATAGACTCCGCACAGACATAGCGATGGCCTGATTCTTCTACAGATAGTGGTGATCGCAGGCGGAGCAACGAAACACAATGTAAAAATACAATTGCTCTGCACTAGCCTCTGCCAATCCACTTATTCCTGTTTCGTGCATCCCTGTCTGGATAGCGCGCCACCTAGGTAGTTGGCCAGAGCCACTTCAACCTTGGCTTTTGTCATCGAAACTCCTCCATCCGCCTGCAAATAAGTATAGGCGCTGACTGTAGGACAGACAGAATTCACCACAGACAAGTTTCTTTCCATCCAGCCCCTCTCAACTCTCAGACGAACACCATGTGGACTCAACTACCCACCCTCACAAACGAAGGCAGTGACTATGATCTTGAACCCCACCTCGCAGTTTTGCACGATTACTTCGAAGGCAAAATTTACTCCCCAGAAGCAGCCGCCAAACTAGCATCTGCCGCTTTAGCGCTCGACGCCTCCCTTGAAGCCCAACTAGGCCAGCTCTGGCATCTGTTGCTTCAGATTGCATGCAAGGACCCAGAACACCAGGATAAACTGGTTGATATTCTCGTGGATATGTCCTATCTCCCAGACGTTACAAGACCAGGTGACCATGGACAAGATGAGCCGTTGATCCTCCACAGGAAGCAAGTGTGGAAGGACCTGCCAATGCTGGACTGGGAGATTCGGCGTCCCTGGGATTACTCGGTTCCGGCCCCAGGTACAAAGGATCCAGAGGAGAGAGAAGCGGCAATTTCAAGGACGGTGAATGTGAATCACTTTCTCGCCCTTCTCGTCGCAACTGACGAGCCTATTTTCGAGTGGGGTTCGTTGTTTGCGCTCATGACGCTCCGGATAGCGCTTGAGACGCCATGGGAGCAGATGGCACCGGAGGATCCCTTAGTGGCGTGGATTCCTGCTGCGGCATCGTGGATTGAGGTTCTAGGTGCGGAGATCTACGAATGGGACGAGGAATATGAGTCCGGGCCCCTTGTTGGTGCTCCAGGGAGTGGAGGGCCGTTGTGGAAAGGGAAGCACGGCTTTTGTAAGGAGAGGTGGAAGCTTTGGAGGGATAGATTTGGCGAGGCTGCAAGGAAGGAAGATGAATCTGAGCAAGTTAGGAGGGTTGCCGGGGAGGCAGAGCTGATGATGAAGGAGATTGAAACCGGGCTTGTGGAGTAGATAATATAGGTGGGCAATTTCTACCGGCTATACAATAAGTTGAGTTGATACATTGCCATTAAACTACTCTAGTCGAGTCCATCAGATATCCTTGCAAAGAACAAACTGGTTCTGTGTTGCCCCGAGATGCGTCATGACACCACAGAACGCAAAGTTATCCGGGAACCCCGTAACTGGGCTATGGATGGTGATTTTATAAACGATACGATCGGTCAGTGGATCGTCATTCCCAACAGACCCAAAAATACGCCCATTGGCGAGGATAGGAAATTCCTGGTATGGGGCTGGTACTCCAGCGCAGTCGGGGAAGTTGAGATTCTCAGGCGTGTTCCTAAACTCGTGGGGATATTCGGCACGTATTACCAAAAAAAAAAAAAGACAAAATCGTCGGAACAATGAGTCGCAGGGCAATAGTATGCAACTCGAACTCACCGTTTCTACCTATAACGCCGCCGCCTTCTGTTAGGTCGTAGCTCTGAGCAGCTTGGAAGACTCTGGCTTGCTGGGACGAGCTGTAGGCATTTACGTCTGTCGACACCCTATGAGCTTTTGCTTGATTTTTTTCAAGTATAGAAAAGGAAGAACCACGCGTACCTCCACAGATACGGTCTGCGCTCTGACGCTCAAGGACACTATCAAGGTCCGTGTAAAGGACTCGTTGGTTGAAGGCAGAGGAGTGGCATAGACATTGAGACCACCAAGAGCGGCGGAGGCCAGGATAGCAGTTGAGAAGTACATGACTTGTAAGACTTGAACGGGGATCGGAAAGCAGATTGTTCGCGGTCTGGTATATCGCTTCGTGCCCTCGACAACCCCCGGGTTTATATCCCCCCAGAAAGCTTCACATCCTCTGACTCGTGTCCTGAGGATAATTGAACTTGTTAGATTGACCGGGCAAACAATATATGCAGGCACAGGGGGGTGATTCCCCGAAAACAAGGACGAGACTGAACTGCCTTGGAAGTGCAAGGAGATCCATCCACCCCGAGCATTAAGAAATGCGCCCTACGCTCCTATCGTTCGGTCCGTGGACATCATGTTGAGCGGCGACCAACACTTTCCAGGCTACCAATTGGTTGCCCGTGTCGGGCGATCTGGGGCGGCACAGTTGACCTGTATTCCAACCCATGCTTGCCAAGAGCTGGAACACAAGGTCGTTTGAAAATCACCATCGCTAGCACTCTGCGAGAACAAATCATACGATGATGCCGGCAATTACAGCGGCGTTTTTTCGACGCCCAGTCTGTTGAACAACCTCGTCGAAACACTGTATCTCCGCAAAAGCGGGATTGCGGTCTTGACCATTCTGAGATGCCAGCCAAGAGACCAGCGTCGAATGGAATCAGCGAAAAGCCTGTTGAGACAAAAGACTCCCACTTATCGCAAGGCGTCAACCACTAGCTCCTCCTGTGAGCGGCTAAGAGAAAAGAAACCAAGACAAACCGGATGAAGCAAACCGATATTTCGCCCAACATGGCTATCGGCAACTGCGTACAATTAACAGAGGCCGTGTTACGTAATGGACTCAACCGGTCACACTGAACAAGGCAGAGACAGATTGTGTGTGAATTTCGTCTTCCCTGGCGCTTGACACAGACGTAAGCGTTCCTTGTCGGAGAACCACCGATTTTGAGGTAAATGAAATATAGGTAAAGAAAGATTAGGATGAAACCGCGGGACGATCCTGGCCCCACCAGGCCCACTGTACAGTTGATTGGTAGCTCGCAGTTCGGCATGTTCCGACTGTTGGTAGAGTTGCGCAATATCATTGGATACCATTCTGTCGGGCCAGTTCTCCACTATTTACTACCACTTGGCCGTGGGCGAACGCCGGTGGAAGGAAGCCTAGAGAGCCGTTCGATTCCTGCGCACCCGCCTCATACTCTGCCACAGAGGCTAGGTCCTGGATGTCAATGTCAAACAAGACAGATGAGAATGACAAACAGGGCCAAGAGACAGGAGTAGAGGGGTTGCAGGGCGGATAGTTGGAAGTTAGAACTTGTGTGGCGGTTTTCAAGGTGACCTTAAGGGCAGGATGCTCGTAGCTTTCCGGAAAATGCTCTTTAGGCTCTTAGCACCATTGCCCCGCATGGGCTCATTACTAGAGAAATGGTCTAACCCTTGAACTGGCTTTATTCTCAACAATCCGCGTTCTTGGAGGAAAAGGATATGCCTACATCTGTAGCACGACGTAACTCCAGGCAAGGATTATTGCCTATGTATCTGTACTTTTGGACAGGGCTGTCAAGTCGGTCATCTTTCCTCGGACGAACCGGAGATTGATCCTCTAGTGGGAAGGCCCTATTTTCACTAGGATACTGTCCAGTTACAGCCATTGGTTAATCGCCGGTAGACAAATGTGAGCTTGTCACATATTACTCCTTCGTCTCCAACTGCCCTTCTTATTCTGTTATAGCATCCTATTGGACATTGAGCGTGGTCCAGGACTCTTTAATCTCGACAGCGCTAGCCCAGTATTTTTTGTGGCATATATTTAGTGACTTGATGTCTAATAACTGGTCGTGCACATTGGGATGTGGTGTACTCCTTGACCGCAGGTACTTTCGGGTTACCAAGCATGTCTTGGGTATTACAAAAGACTTTTTCCAGAAAAGAGTAACCGAGGGGTATCGAGCTCGATTGATGGGGTAATGCGATCCTCACCAAAAGTACTAGGCTGCGCCGCAATATCCCCCTTAGCTTCCACCACAAACGGGGGGAGAATCTGTCAATGAAGCAACCGGTGCCCTTGTCGCGTACGCTTTGGAAACTAGGATTAGAATCTCTCCGTACTCGATGAGAAAGTGCTCGATACGAGTGCTGTGCCGCATATGCCTGCTGTACATGCAGGAGACCTGAATCTGACCCTGGTGGAGCTGCACCCCGATTTCTATAAGGGCAAGCCGGGGCGTGTCAACCGCCGTATCTGCGAGGTCTCCATCCGGCTGAGGCACCATCTCGAAAAGGGCGGTATCCCCTTCTAGCTGCTGGAAAGTTGGTAGCGATTATTTCGAGTGCCAATCTACATGTTTCCAGCACTAGTTGCGACCAAACTGGTGAATATCAACAATAATTTTGTCAGGCATGACGCGGGTATAGGAAGACTTACCTATCGCAGGCCGGGGCATATGTATACTCGCGCAAGAAGTGTAAACATGACTCGAGACTCAGAAAGGATAGCTTCAGTTGTTCTTAGACTGGAGAGTGCTGCTGCCCCTCAATATGTTGAAGTTCCAGCTGGACTACGGAGCTTTTTGGTAACCATGATCGACTTTAGAGAATGGTTTTCGTTACGCGTTGATCCTATCCACTCAAAGCATCAAGTTCACAATCCTACGGCCAAGTCTGAACCCAACAACCGGGCGTCTCCTGACTTAAGTGGATTGGACAGGAAGCCCCGTGGGAGTGAACATTCCGTACAAGGCTTTGATGACTTTCTTCTGCTCCTCATAGTGCACGTCATTCACCGAGCTCGATGGCGCATCATTGTGTTCTTTCAGAGCTTCAAAAAGCCAGCAAAAAGTCATCCTTGATGTCTTCGAGATGTTCGATCCCAACGGATAGGCGGATATGGTCTTCTGTGACACCAGAGTCGAAACGCTCAGCATCGGTCAATTGCTGATGTGTCGTCGTCCAAGGATGAACCACGAGAGTCTTGGAGTCGCCCAGGCTAAACCAACGTCAGCATTTCCGAGTTCTACTAGGAACAAAACCATGCCTGGAAGATGGAACAATCAAGATAGTGCCATACTTGGTCGTATTGATGATCATTTGAAACCCATCGCATAGTCGGAAACCGGCGTTCTTTCCTCCTTTGATGCCAAACGAGAAGACAGCGCCGTATCCATGTCGCAGATACTTGCTGGCATTGCGATGGGATGGATGGCCCGGGTCACCCAGATAGCGCACCCACGCTACCTGCGGCTGCTGTGCCAGCCACGCGGCCAAGGCTTCCGCGTTGGCTGTGTGGCGATCACATCGAACGGCGAGCGACTCGAGGCCAATGAGCAGCTGTTGTGCAGCCTGAGGGCTTAAAGTGCTGCCAATATCTCGGAGCACCTCGAACTGACAACGTATGGCAAAGACCCGTGGCCCGAACATTTTCCACAGGCTGACCTCACCACTGCCCTCTTTGGCCGCGTCTGCGTGGAATTGAGGAAATTTGTCTGCATGGCGGCCCCAGTCGGAAGTTCCTCCGTCCACAATAACACCACCGAGAGTGGTTCCATGTCCGCCAATCCATTTCGTTGCCGAATGGACTACGATATCCGCTCTGTGTTCAATCGGACGGCAGTAATACCCGGCGCAGCCAAAGGTGTTGTCGCACTGTCGCAGGAGATTAGTATATACCTGTCTAGAAAAACAGAGACAAATACAATTAATGGTATTCCATGGGAGTGAGTAATGTCGGCTAGAGCTTCAAAGTCCGGCACGGTGTATCTAGGATTGCTGATACTCTCAACAAAGATGAACTTTGTCTTGTCGTCCAGCAACGCTCGGAAATCTTCCGGCTCATTGGACGCGACGAAGCGACACTCAATGCCCAGCTGTGGCGCCAGAACCTTGAATTGATGGTATGTACCTCCGTGCACAGTAGAGGAGGCGACAATGTTGTCTCCAACCCCCGCCAGTGCCATCATGGTCATGGACACGGCCGCCGTGCCGGATGCAGTGGCACAAGCAGCTACCCCTTCCCTCAAGGGCGGCCATTCGATTCTGGAAGACACTGACGGTGGGCTTACCATTAAAGTTAGCACGCTCGTGAATTTTTGGAGTCCGAGAACCAAATCTAGGGTCATACGTTGGTGATGCGGCTGTAAATATTGCCGAACTCGGTGAGGTTCAACAAGCGGACTCCATGCTGGGAATTGTTGAACGCAAAGGCCTGCATAATTTTACGATTAGGGACTGTGCAGCTCGCTGGCGAGGAAGATCATACCGCGCAGGTGTAGATGGGAACTGCACAGCTGTTTAAGCTGTCAGGAAATTTCCTGTAGCAAAAATCAGACCTGCGCTGCTAACTAGAAAAAGGGCTCCTGACCCAGCATCAAGTTGCAACGTTTCAAACCGCTGGGGTGCTGCTGTAGAAGATTCTTTCTTCATGGTTGGTCTGGAGTGTGCGAAGTGTGCGAAGTTGTTCCCTTGCTCAATATTTGCGCTGCACAAAATGGACGTCAAGCATATTTTCGAGGCCACTGGGTGGCGAGTATATGAAGATTGCTCATTTTTGAGCTCAATGGATGAGATGGATGACTGTGCATGCACGAGTTTGTCACATATCAATGATGTGACTGTGTACTGTTCCTTATATATGATTATTATTGGCTTATGTTTTGACTCCGATACTCCAGTCAACTCCGAGACAAGTCCGAAAAACTGACCAAGAAAACAGTCAGCACCAATTCTTTTTCCCACAGCAACATCTTCTCCAATCCTGACTGATATCAGATAACATACTACGTGCCATGACATTGAACGTCCGCCAATTCCTCCAAGCCCTTTCACAGGGACTGGGATGGACCTATTTCCTGCTCTGGTCGGTGTCTTTCTACCCACAGCTCATCCACAACCAACGCCGACGCGCAACAAGCGGCTTCTCCCTTGATTTCGCTCTTCTTAATGTGGTCGGCCTATCCGCTTACACGGTCTTCAATGGCGGCCTATTATTCTCCCCGGTGATCCGCACCCAATACGCGCAGCGGCACCCCCAGAGCCCCGAACCACCCGTGCATCTTAACGATTTCTTTTATGCCTTACATGGGACCATCATCTGCTTGCTTATCTACAGCCAGTTCCAGTGGCCTGTTCTGTGGAAGTTTGATTCTCAAAAACAGACACAGCGGAAGCCGAGCAGATTGACGGTGGCCCTGCTCTCAGGATGTTTTGGTCTGGTCGCAGTCGAAGTCACGGGGCTGTTGTATTTCCCACAGCTTCATTCACAACAGTGGCTTGATGTGGTGAGTTTCATTATACTGGGAAGAAGGGAAGATGTTGGCCTTGTCTCTGATATCCTTTTTATCTCTAGTTATACACAATTGGAAACATCAAAGTTTTCCTCACCGCTATTAAATACACCCCGCAGGCATGGATGAACTATTGCCACCGGTCGACAAAAGGCTTCTGTATGATTGCAGTCCTGATGGATTTCACAGGGGGCATGCTCTCTCTGATACAATTAATTATCGACACTTCCTTACAAGCAGACTGGTCGGGCGCACAGGGAAATGCTACCAAGCTTGTGCTTGGGAATCTTACCATCTTTTTCGACATCATTCTCATGGTCCAGCATTACTGTCTGTATTCGCGCAAGTCAAGGAGCGCCATAGTGCAGCCGGCTGAGCACGATCCGCTTTTGAGAACAGAGGACGATATCTAGATATCTACATATCCTTCATCTATTCTTCATGCTATTATCTCCGCTGGCGTAAAACCAACCTCTAAAAGTTCCTGAAGGCGACCCGAAAAGCGCAGGCCGTCACAAACATCATTGCGGCCGTCACGGACCAGAGCACCACAAGTAAAGGATCCTTAGCCAGAGGTGACAACGCCATTCCCAATAGATACCCCACTCCGGCGGTACTGATGTAGCATGCCTGCAGAACTGACTTCATGCTCTTTGGGGCATGGGAGTATGTGTATTCTGATCCAGTTGGCCAGCAAAATACCTCAGCCAGGGCGATTATTATAAACGTCGGCAGCTGAAGCAGGACATGCACATGGTTAGGGGTGCGGCCCCCAGAAGACGCAGGGCATGACAGTGGATAGGAGTAACATGGGCCGGAGCGATAGATGATTACCTGCACGACTGCAGAATATGCCATGGCCACTGACATAATGAAGAATCCCAGACTAATACGGTTGATGGGGCTGAAGGAGATCTTGCGTCGTTGGAGGAAAGGGTACAGCTTTTTCTGGACAAGCACACCGATGATCACGTAGGCAAGTGGATTTGATGACTTGATCAGGTCATTAGGAATCCCATGGGTTTCCATTTGTCCAGCCTGTGAGATTGAGACTTGAGCACCCTGCCCCATGCATACCCAGAAAATAGGCCACCCAATGCTGCTGCCCTGTTAGAAGCTACAGCAAATAATAGGAATCGCTATAGGGGAAATACCAGATCTTGAATGCAGACAGAGCACCCCGAAGCTCAGAAATGAATTCCTTGTCCCATGGCACTACTCGCTGATGGTTCTCTAACTGGTACTCTGGCCTTGCAGCGTCCAGGTTGAAACCACCCTGAGCAGCATACCATAGGCAGCGAGCGGCACGGGGGAGGACAGACCCTTGCGTGACAGGATGGACTGTCAAATCCCTTAGGATCAGTAATTGTTGATAATAACAGAGAATATGATGATGTATCATACCAAACTTTGGTTTCGCCAAATGGACAACTATAACTGCAAGTACTACAGCACATAGATCCAGCAGATATGCAGACCAGAAGCCAATGTACTTCTCCATCAATGTGGTAGCAATGCTTCCCAGTGAACCGATATTCACCATCCTAGAATGATGATCCATGTCAGTCAGTCAAGAGTCATCTGCCTTTTTTAAGGGATTGTTGGCTCTTCATACCAATAGTATACATTGTAAATATACTGGATAGTCACTTCGCGACTTTCTACTACTTCTTTACCGTCCTTCCTGATCCTTATCCGCATGCTTTGCTCTGTATATTGGTCCGCTAAGCAAGCAGTGAGTATGGTCTTCTTTGAAGTGGGCAAACACAAGGCTGGGACATCCTACCAATAAAAGGCTGCACTGAAGCTTGAACACCTCCAAGTCCCACTGCGATTAGAATACTTCCCAAAATGAAGCCTATAAGAGCAACACCACTCCTCATCTCTGAGGGGAATGAGGTGCCAAACAGAATTGCAGACCCTAGAGCATAGATTCTGCAAGCCAAGTGATTAGAACACATCCAAAGAAAATATGCTAGAACTGAACCCAACAATACCCAGTGAAGATCTGCAAAGCCTTATATCTCCCTAGATGTCCATCAACCAGGACTGACGCTGGTAATGGCAACAGGTTGACTGCAACAGTAAAAGCCAAATTGATAGTGGTAGCACGAGACTTTCCTAATCCCATTGCGCCGGGTATAAGATCGTCTGGACTGTTCTGGAGATAGTTCTCTATAAAATCCAAGTACCAGCGTCAGGTCTTTGCGCAACTTTAAGATTGAAACAGCTTCTGCCACTTACGGAAGAGAGTCTGCGTGCCATAGTATGCAAACCGCTCCGCCATTCCAATCGTTGCGGCAAGCCAGACCCGTGCTGGCAGTTTGGCTGCAACATGTTCCAGTTCCTGGATATTGTCTCCAGTCGCTACTTCGATGTCTGACGCCGTTGACAACTGAGCGATGTGTGGTGCTCGTCCTCTTTCAGCTTTATCCTCGCCTGCTGAAGTGTCCATCCTCACAGATCCGGGTTCGTAGAGTTGAGGGTAACCAGGTTGTCAAGAAGGCGATATGTATGATATTTTCTGAGTTTTTCTTTTGCTGCTATGTCCATTTAAATGAGTTCTATCAGGCCCAGAAAAAGACCGGAATTCAACGGCGTTCAACCGGAGTTCGGCATAGTGTTCGCTGGTCGCTGGCCAAGTCTGTCGGTGACGAGGCAATGCTACATAAGCGAGCTTGGGATTTGTCCAAATGGAAGAGACTGGAGAAAACTAGCTTGCACGGAAAGGAGATGCCTTCCATAGATTTCGTCATTCTTGATCGCGAGAGTAATGGTACAGCCTCTTGGTCCTCTAAGCCTGTTGAATATACCCGCTTTGCGGACTGACATTTTGATCTAGTCCAAGTCCGATTTCAACGTACAGTCTTGGAGACAAAATGCGACCCATCAGCATCGTACAGCGTCATAGATGGGATTTTGCAAAGAACCGATGGAGAACTCGACGCATGTGCTATCGAATCGGTCGAAGCAGCTGATGCACCCCTTTGGTCCAATGGACCCTACCAGTACCGAAGGTCGAACATATTCTTGGAGCAGATATCCAAAAGTTGGATTATTTAGCCAATTTTCTTGAGGAATCATCCAGTGGTCTTCATCAAGGAGTCAAGCTGCTTGTGCCCAACAACAAGGGCTACATCATGAGCAGCCAGATCTTCGAAGAGAGGCTCCGAGGAGCACCGTATATCCGAAAGGTAGAGGAGTATGTCTATCCCAGGCAGTTTGTCGGGCCTCCGGACATCTCAGACCCAAGCCTAGCTTCCCTAATTCAATCTGTGGTTTGCTGCATTACGGTCGATGGCGTCAACCCAGAAAGCATCGCTCAGTCTCTTGATGCTGTGCAATCGCAGCTGAGCAATCGATTGTCACTGCGCTGGCTGTCTCCTACGCAAATTCCACAGCGTCGGCTTGCTGTCATAGGAGAGTTGCGTCCCTACTCCATGTCCTGGAGATTTTTTCCAGGCCGCGCGAGCATTAGGTGTTTCCCTGGTCGCATATGGACCTCCTGGGCATTGGCTAGAGGCCGAGTCTCAAGGTTCTCAATTTCTAGAAGCGTTTATCCCACTCGACCTCACAGGTAATGCAGGGTTGCCGTCCCGTATTGTAAATGCCGTCAAAGACTATCCGGAACCGATTGACGGAATCACCACTGTCACTGAATTTCTGCTCGTGGCGGTGGCTCAGGCAGCCGAGCAGTTGAACCTATCTACCTCACCATCACAGGTGTACTCCAAATCAGTGAACAAGTACCAATGTCGGCTCGAAGACGGCTCGAACTCCTGTCTGCTTGTTCGCAGCACAGCGGAGCTTCACGACTTGGTCGCGACCAATGAAGGAAGCGTGCCTGTACCAGGGCCCCCCTGGATAGTTAAACCGTGCAATGGCTGGCACATTTTGAATGTTGTCAAAGCCTCCAACTATGAGGCTCTCCTGGAAGCCGTGCAGAAGGTCTCCAGCCATGCCGCATATACCCGGGCTGCACCAGCAAGGATGATCCGCGCTGGCAAACGGGTGCACTCGTTGAAGAATACTGTGATGGGCCAGAAGCCGACTGCAACTTTGTGCTCTGGACAGGCCAGGTTCTGTTTTTCGAAGTAATTGATAACTTTCCCTGCTCCGGGGATGCGGGTGATGGCTCCGGGAACTTCAAGGAGACGCAGCTACTGTTTCCTTCCGCGTTGCCGCGTGCCGAACAAAATGCACTGCGCGACTCACTGCTCCAATCGATCCTCCGTCTAGGTTTTAGTTCGGGAGTTCTCCATGTCGAGGCGCGAGTCCGCCACTCCAATCACGAATATCGAGAGACTGACGGACAAACGATGGATTTGCACCCGAGACCGAATCCACCAGCATCAGATCCAGGTATCTTCCTGATCGAGATAAATGCTCGTCCTCCTGGATATGTGGACACATGTTCAAGTGCTTTTGCGAACGGGGTGGACCTCTTCGCGCCACAGACTCCCATCGCGCTTGGTGATGAAGAGCGTGTCCACGCCCTTTCACAACCGTTTCAGGTACCACCTCATGTAGCCATCGCAGCTATCCAAGCAGAGCGGTCCGGAACTGTAGTATCAGACGATCCTTGGGGGGATTTGAGGGAGAGAGATCCAGCCCTAATGGACCATGTCGTCCAGCACGTTATGAATTTCGAGAAAGGCGAGCATGTAGAGGATCCTAGCCTCGATACAACACCATGGCTTTCGGCGTTCATGGCATATTCGACTGCCAGCCGTGCAGATCTCTTGAAGCTATGCGCAGATGTCAAGGCACGATTTGTTTGCCGCATTGAGTGACCAATATAGTGTGCTTCCGGCTGGATACGCAAGAATTGCGGTTGCCAGATATTCTGTCCATGCCGTATATGGCTCTTCCATACGTTCAACTCATACACACAATTTGCCGAAAGTGATACAAGACAAGCTTAAGAGAAGATCTGGACTGTCCTCGCACATGCCATATTACCGCTGACGCCCAACACATTACGTTGCTCAGTTGAGTCTGGAGGGATTTCTCGGTAAAATACGATGACCAAACAATATTATTACTTGGCACTCCTGATCAAAAATACTAGTTCAATATCTATTGGGTTGGATGAGTAGTGGCTTATCATCATTCTTAGACTAGTGTTTGTAGAAGGTTGAACCACCACTTCTATACCAACTCATGACAAAAATGATTATTCCCTTATACCTCACCAACCACTAGGTATTTTGAATTGATATTTATATATGAGATAGCCTAGATCTACTCCAGTTCACTTTATCGGAGGCTCCGGATAGACAATCACAATTCTCAGACTCTTGGACCCCCTCGCATGTCCACGCGTGGCAATGAATGCGAGGATTGTCGATCAGTGTAGTGAAGGAGCAACTCCGAAAGGAATAGGATTGTCGGCATTTGCAATATACTGTGTGGGACAGTCGGTAACTCCGTGTCTTCTCGGTTCCATGCTATCTCAACACCATTTGAAACAATATCAACGATCGTTGTGGCCGGGTTGTTCGTCTGCTTAACTGCCTCACAGTTGCCCTTCCATGTTGCAAAAGACGCCCCATAAGAGGCGATCGGATAGGTATTATCACATTCTATACACAGTATATGTAGCGACAGGCAAAACAATCGTGGATCGATTGGCGATGTGACACAACAATTTTCATAAGCAACCGGAACGCTAACTTCAAAATCTATGCCGCAAGGCCGAGGAGAAAGTTGCTGAAATCGAGGGAGCATGTAGTAGAATCTGAAGAAGTGTAAGCATCAAGACCCCATTCCTTCTTCAGCTGAACCCGCCAGGTCTCGAAGTCCATTTCCTCGCCATCGACCAGCATGTTGCCGCTGCGGATCTCTTTCAATCGCGGGGGGATGAAGATAAAGTACTGGACGTGCTTCGAATTACATCTCTTCTTGGGCACCGCGTCCTCCCGCTCCACCAGTGTAACGCAGTCTGGACAAAACTTCCCCTTCTCCAAGCAAATGGGGCACATAGAAAACCCATCCCGTGTAGGCGCTCTCCGACGGCATGAGCCGCAACATATATACCAGGGGTCGCTGTTGTTCTGTTCCAACCTATGGGCGATTGCAACTGCATTTTTCAAGTCGCCCGCCCTCATCAGAGTATATTGCAGGTCAGAAAGGTTCGACTCGTCGTCCGCGCCGTAGTCATCGCTGAGGCTTTGAATGCTTCGTTGCACGCAAGGTCGGAAGAGAGCCCGCGCCCGCTCCTCTTGCCCTCGGAGGCGGCAGTAGAGGCCTGAGTAGATAGCTGGCGCGAAGGCGACACTCCCAGCGAGAAAGGACTGGCTTTGCTGCGCGAGCCTCTCAAGTTTGGCCACAGATTCTTCCGCCTCTGGAGTCCCAACTCCGGCCTCGACTGCGTTATAGAGAAACTCCTGAGCCAGGTTAGAGGAGGCGAGCTGTCTGATAGTCCCGATCAAGGTGCCGCCGGAGGAGGAGGAATATGTATCCATGATTTTCTCCCAACACCTGATTGCCTTTCCTTGGTCCCGAAGAACCTCGTTATAGATTCGAGCGACGGCCATATCCACCTCCGCGGCAATCAACGTCCGCGACCCCTTTCGAGCCGCCCGGGCCGCCGTTTGCAAGCTCTCCAACACGAAGTCAAGGTCATTGGTAGCCAATGCGGCATCGGCAGCAAGCCTTGACTTGACGTCTACATCAAATACGTTGATCAGGAGGAATCGAGTCAACTCTGAGAAATCTCCTTCAGGTGCTGGAGTATCGGCTAATTTCTTCAGCAAGTCCATGGTCGCTTCGTGAGCGTGGGTGTCGTTGTAGTGTTGCAGAAGCGCGTAGATACATGTCCCGCAAGAGGGCGCGTACTGAAATGCCTCTTGAAACGCCTCGAACCGTTTCTCCCCTTCCCCCAGCTCCCCATAGATCTCGCCCATATGTTCCAGGCACTTGTGGAGATGTGCGTTCAATGACCTGTCCTCTGGCGACGACTCCGCAATCATCTTCGACAAATTTAGTCGAGTTCTTTCCCAGAGCTCAATAGCTTTCTGCCAGTCATCTTGCTCCTGGTATGTTTCTGCTATCTCACGCAGTGTCCGCCAATCATCCGGATCGAGTTCCATCGCCTTTTGGCAATACTGGAGGGCTTCATCAGGGTACCCTGTTTGGCGCAGGGCGACCGCACATTGTCGAAACCACCGACTGGTCTTTTCAAAGCCACCAAATTCGGCAGCCTCAACTACTTCTTCCGCCGTCATGTGTCTGTCGTGATTGTGGAACTCCTCGCCCTTGATTAGCATCTGATAGCGCCATACAACAGAGGCCATGGGAACGGGATTAGGCAGGTCTTCCCACAGCCATCTCCTGATGCAGAACATTGCCATTGGTTTAAATAAGTTGACTGGCTCATCTTCTGTCGTCGAGATAAACTCCTTCTCTTCCGGGGATAGAAACTCGAGGACGTCTTGCTCTTGCCACCATTGTCGGACAGCATTGATGGTCGCCGTAGGAAGAGCCCAATCGTTTTCCCCAAGCCAGTTCGACATTGATTCTTCCGACCGAAATGCTGTCAACAGCGACTTCGCGATCTCTCTTTTATCCTCTAATGAGCACTCGGACGGGGAAATGGTGAGCAGCTGACGACCCCAGTTCCGCGCAGCATATCGAAGCAGGTGCCCCGAGTCATTGGCCTTTGTTGCAAATTCAGGATCGGTCATTAGTCTTAAGTAAGTCTTTAGGATATGAACTTTGGCTTCATGGCAATTCACCCCAACGGCAATGTGGCCCTCCTTAGCCGACACCTTGCCCTCCGACTCTTCCCGGAAGAAGTCGCCAATGGATGCATGGCAGAAGGTGACGGTAGTTGTATCCTTTTTTGAACTGAAGTCCATAAAGAAATCCATATCGTCAGAAGTCACAGCATCGGCAACATCTTGTTTCTCCTCGTCGGCGGACCAGTCGAGCGCGTTTAGGTTGATGGGTCCATTCTCTAGCTCGGCCGTCGTAAGCCCATCTTCTCGGTGTAAGGTGAAGAATGACGCCCACTGGCGCCGTAGAGCCCCTTCAAGGTCAATCATGCCATCCCCTTCAGGTGATTTCAGTCTGAGTATCGCCTCTATGTCTGCCAGGCTCCATGGCTGATCCGCGTAGGTAACCCAGAGCAACGATTCATTGAGATACTCGAGCTCCTCCTCGTCGGAGCTTTCAGAGAGACTGGCTAGTACGTGTTGGAGCATCTGCTTAAGGCCCCGGGGAGCCTGCTTCAGTGCCTGTCGCATACTAGTCTCATTCCGCTTCTTAACTAACTCCTGCAGCATAAGATTTACCCAAAGGAACATGCCTTCCGCCCCAACTGTTAGCCTATCAATGATCTCAGCCCGCAAGTTAGCCGACACCCTTCGCAGAACCAGGGACTTTTTGATGCTGGCGTGGATATACTCGCAGATATCGCCCGAATTCTTCTGCTTGGTGACATGAAGGGTTGGGACCTTAACCTCCAGGCCTTCGAGCAGTTGGTCACTAATATAAGGTCGGCCAACAATGGCTAGCTGCAAGCGCGACTTATTGCTATACAAGTCCCTTGCCAGGCCGAGGAAGATCCTCCGCTCTTCATCCGGGGTTTCATCCAATGCATCCAGCAGGATATATGCGGTGCTCTTGCTGTCAATATTGGGTTTGTTAAGAAAATATTCAACGAATAGGAGACGCCACGCACTCTCGAGGGTGCTGATCCGTTCATATTCCTCGATAGTCCCGAGATACTTCAGGTATACTGGGTCACTCTTGCAGATCTGAAAGGCCAGGTCTCGCAAAGCCTGATGAACGGACCTTGTCTGGGGATTGTCCCCTTTGAAGAAGAAGTATCCGATAGAAACCAGCGACCTACTCTGAGAGCCTGAAGGAAACTGCTCACGAAGGAAACTGATAATATTTGTCGCTAGAAATGACTTCCCCGCACCCGGATTCCCAGACACAAAAATGATCGGTGTTTCCTTATTAATCCAGGATTGGAAAACATCTTCCCTGCGGACCCAGTCTCCTGTGCCCGGTACATGGGCCTTGTGGATCTTATCGAACCATTCCCGGGCTGAATCGATCTTAGATAGCCTGAGGACCTGGTAGACGAGTCTCTGCAGGGCCTCTTGATCCACAGCAGCCCCCTGCTTTTGCTCATTCGCGGAGACGATCAGCTTCCCTAGCAGCTCTTGCACTTCCTGTACCTGCGCGCCCATCTGGTTCACTGTCATCCCGGTCTCCAGGACAGTCGCGCTGATGGTGTTAACGGACACAGAAATACCATCAACTACACGGCCAGTTCTCTTCGACTCAGTCAAGGTCTCAGCTCCAACTAGGTTAGCTTCCACCCGGGTGAGCTTGTCAAGTCTCTCCATCGCTGCTAGGATGGCGTCGTCGTTACCGAGGAAGATATTCCGTGTGAACTTAAGTAGTCGGCCACGTCGGATGGTCTTCAATGACAGTGCAAAGATCTCAATAAGCGTAACGATGATATCGCTGAGTTTGTCGCTCAGGGCTTCGGAGATGGCTTCTTGTGTATATGCTCTTAGCCGGATCGTGTAGTCCTAGACTTGTTCAGAATCTCCATCTATCCTTTTACTGGTCTTGGTCCACTGGGATCATACCTGCAGCATCTGCATTAGATCCTGAATCGCCTCATACGAGGCCGATACCCCCTTTGCAGCGCCCATCAAATGCAGTACAGCCCCAAAGACGAGACTGCTGGGGGGCATCATCATCGAAGCGGCCCCAGCCGCGAGGTTGCCGAACAGTTGCACGGGGATCATGGCTGACTCGAGAACATCGA